TCATGTCAGCCTCTTAATTATAACTTGCATAGTCTACTCATGTGCACCACAACATCTTACTTTACCTTATACTGGTCGATACAAATTATCCCTTTTTGATAAACATGATTTTCCTCAGAAAGTTCGACATACCTCAAATCGAAGTGTGATTTACAAACGCAAGATGCATTTGAAAACATCAAAGTACAGTACAAAACTACACAGCAAGTTCATTTTCTTGCAAAATTGCGCCAGACATTAGAATATTGGAGGTTCTGAGTTCTGATGAGATACAAATTGCATTCAACCATCTTGCAGTTAAGATAACTTAGACACTGTAGCTTTAAAGGCCTTCTCGTTTAAGAATACAACATTTTATGATACTGCAAAATCGCATTGCTTCTGATCATATAAATTAAAAATGCTGACGAAAACTGCTGTGCGTTTGAAGAAAAGCTGGAATTAATCATAGAAATATAGAATACTGTACTTCAGTTTCTAACAAGACTTAGCTGGTAAACAGAAGCTAAAGTTGAAGCAAGGGACTATTCTTAGTTTGAAGGAATTGCATGCAATAATAGCGCGTATTTTAATCACAAGAGAAATCGCTGCAATTTTTCAGACGCAAGAAAGTCACACTATCATTGGCGCGCTATAAATAAGGCATTTCTCTTCAATTTTCAAAAGGCGATAAACCTTCTCATCGTCTATAAAGTGGTACTTCTTTGGTTAGTTTGTCGACGTTTTAGGTCTCTACATAAGCGTTATTAAAGAGTGTTAGTGATTTGTCGTAGAGCTTATTTAGGAGTTGGTACGCATATTATTGTCTGCAGATTATCTATCCAGTATCTCAGCTTTCGGCACTAATTCTTCTCTTCTCCCGCAATTCAGACGAATCATCCTTCGTCGCAGCTTCGCTAATTTCCTCCTCTTGTATCACACTCGTAGAACTAATTGCTTGCCTTTTTCCCTCATCATTTCCGCATCCGATCTGCACCAGGTCTTCCATTTTCCCAAGCATCTGGATACTGCCATTTCCGTTTCGCACAGCCAGGATTCGACGCAAATTAGGCGGCGGAACGTAGTTCTCGTAGCCCGGTGGGACCCAGTCCCCCAGCATCAGATGCGCAGACAGTCGGGGCTCAATTTCGTAATGGAAATCGATCTTGTGCATTATCAGCCGCTCCGGGTCGAGGTTCATCTCGTGGATTGACCTGAGAAAATGAATGGTCATCAACGCGAACGATCATTAAGGTCCAGGCAATGAATCATTCGGGGTTCCGAAACGAGACTATTCACAACTACAGTACAGTTGAACCCCGATAAATCAAACCTCTCCAAATCGAATTTTTTTCCACAAACCTCGGTTTGAATTCCTTCAGAAACAATGCATTGAAAAACTTTCTCAACTCGAAGGATTTTCCTCTCAAACCTACGTAACTCGAATTTTCCTGAAGAATTTCGGCTATTATTTTCTTGACATAGACAAGAGAAAATCAATAAAAAATGTAACTGGATATGTTTTTAAATAGAGGGGAAGACTATTGGGAAAATTAACCGCCGTCTCCAATTTCAGATTGTTGGAAAGTCATTCAAGAAGCAATTTAAAACCCAGAATACTGTATCATGTAACATTTCCTGCAATTCTGTTACAATTCCCACAACAAAAATGCTTGTTTCCCTGACTTGAAGCATCCCTAAATCGACTTTTTTGCTGGTCCTTTGAAATTCGACTTAGAGAAGTTCGACTACAACGGATGTAATCCAGTCAAGTTCTCTATTTTATCAAGAATTTTCAAATCCTATTTTCTTTTTCGAATAGCTCAAGATATAAAAAATCCAGCGTTAAGTTTTCTGCTAAAAACGCGGAGAGGCATCTGGCGAATTTTTCACCCAAGTACTGTAATAACTTTCCGGATTGACACGCACACATGGTACATAAAAACTGTTTGCGAGGTCATATAGCGCAAGATATTTCACACAGTACTAAACCCACACAAATTCGAGCACTTCAGGGAGTTGAAAATATACTGTGAAGACTAAATTCGTTCAAAAAATTACTGCGATAATTCCAACACGCGTTTGACACCTCGGAAAATAACTGGGAATTCCCTGGTTAAACTCAACGTGAATAATTTGCTGTACCCACTCCAACACAAGATTAAGAGGAAAGATTTGTTTTCACGAGGATGCAATAATTTTTCACCTGCATCCCATTCATTTCAAGAGACAGTAATCGTTGTGCTGAGGTCGCCACTAATCTCCTTTCATTTCGCAGGGAGTTTTAGTACCGGAAGACGGCATAAATTATCCCTTTCTTTTATCATGCTCGTAATTACTAGAGATTGTCGGGATAACACCATCACTTTTTGCGTCATTCGCCACATATTTCATGATTACATGTTCAAAACACCTCGAAATTTTGACGTTTTGTGGGCTATTAGCGCGTAAACGTCGGCACGATTTTACTAGACACGAGTAATTTTTCAGTTTTCCGAAATGAGCTCGGATAATTTTTGAAATAATCCTCGGTTGTAATAAGACGTTTGAATGGTTTCTTGAGCGATTTTCACCTGCGATCAGGATCACTCAAGTCTGAATTGTTTCACTGAACTAACGGATACTTTCAAAGCTTCAGCATCAAAGAACGTAGTTATCATCGAGGAATAAATCTCATTAATACTGTGGTTGATACTCACAAGAACGGTAATTCAGGAGGAGGAGGATCCAGGAATTTGTACTCGACTTTCTGCTCCTCCAATAAAACAGGGTCCATGTAATTTACCCCAGCCTCTATTTTCAAATTCGGTCTGTGGTTGATACTCACAAGAACGGTAATTCAGGAGGAGGAGGATCCAGGAATTTGTACTCGACTTTCTGCTCCTCCAATAAAACAGGGTCCATGTAATTTACCCCAGCCTCTATTTTCAAATTCGGGTTCACGTCTTCCAGCATCAGGCAAAGAAGATTTAGATTTTGGCATTTCGGCAACCGATCCATTTTGAGCATCTTCAAATTTCTGTTGATAAAGAGAAAAAGCTTAGTCGAAGAGATAACAAGGTAGTGTTTCTATAAACACGCGATCATTTCCTTGTTATGTATTGTACCTGTCCGCTTCATTAAATTTTTTGGGTGCTCTGCTAAATTAAAAATGATATTTCAACAAACCTACCATACAACGAACCTGACTTCACACATGAGTAACCAATCAATAACAGTGTAACCACTTTAACAACCTAAAATGTAATTCACTTATAACATAACATCTCATTTCCTATCTCAACACAAAAATAAACACACATTCAACAGATGACTGAAACTGATCACTTCTCTAGTAAATAATTGACCACTGGCTGAACTAACCAGGACTCAACTAACCCAACACCTAGATGATCATTGGAAAAAATGAATACTGCATATTCTCCAAAAACCGTCCCTGGAGTTTACAAATACAGTATTGGGCTTTTCTCCTGATGTTCAATAGAGACTGGCTTCTATTACAGACCAGCGCTGATTTCCAACAATTAATACTTCCAAACAAAAGAAAAAAACCATTGTGAAAGACCTTTGATTGCAACCTTTTCTTGAAAAATGAGACAGGAATGCTTCAAGAATTGATAATGGGAAAGGGTTCCTTTCTTTAGCACATAATACAGGTTTGTAAAAGTTTGTTTTGATTGAGAGATTTATCTCTCAATCAAAACCTAAACTAAACTAACCCAACGTCTAACTGACCACATAACCTCATGAAAAATATATCATATCCAAGCTATTGAAAAACTATCACCACGAACCTGATTAGTACACCAACAACTTACACAGCCATCTACGTCGAACAAACCTAACCAAAACGTATCTCAACCAGCCTAATATGATCTTTGTGCATTGACAAAATGATCCCGAGATTTAAAAAATCATCTAAATCACAACATCTCGAATACGCGTTCACAGCTTACTTTAACTTCACAACGGCAGCGACTCCTCGATCGCTAATACTTTTGCAACCGCTTATATCCAGGTATTCCAAGGACTCCTCGTATTCCGCTGTTATCTGATCCATGCAAAAATCGTCCACGTGAGGACAATCACTCAAATTCAGCCATCTCAAATGCCNGGTTCCGAAACGAGACTATTCACTACTACAGTACAGTTGAACCCGGATAACTCAAACCTCTCCAAATCGAATTTTTTTCCACAAGCCTCGGTTTGAATTCCTTCAGAAACAATGCATTGAAAAACTTTCTCAACTCGAAGGATTTTCCTCTCAAACCTACGTAACTCGAATTTTCCTGAAGAATTTCGGCTATTATTTCCTTGACATAGACAAGAGAAAATCAATAAAAAATGTAACTGGATATGTTTTTAAATAGAGGGGAAGACTATTGGGAAAATTAACCGCCGTCTCCAATTTCAGATTGTTGGAAAGTCATTCAAGAAGCAATTTAAAACCCAGAATACTGTATAATGTAACATTTCCTGCAATTCTGTTACAATTCCCACAACAAAAATGCTTGTTTCCCTGACTTGAAGCCTCCTTAAATCGACTTTTTTTGCTGGTCCTTTGAAATTCGACTTGGAGAAGTTCGACTACAACGGATGTAATCCAGTCAAGTTCTCTATTTTATCAAGAATTTTCAAATCCTATTTTATTTTTCGAATAGCTCAAGATATAAAAAATCCAGCGTTAAGTTTTCTGCTAAAAACGCGGAGAGGCATCTGGCGAATTTTTCACCCAAGTACTGTAATATCTTTCCGGATTGACACGCACACATGGTACATAAAAACTGTTCTTGAGGTCATATAGCGCAAGATATTTCACACAGTACTAAACCCACACAAATTCGAGCACTTCAGGGAGTTGAAAATATACTGTGAAGACTAAATTCGTTTAAAAAATTACTGCGATAATTCCAACACGCGTTTGACACCTCGGAAAATAACTGGGAATTCCCTGGTTAATCTCAACGTGAATCATTTGCTGTACCCACTCCAACACAAGATTAAGAGGAAAGATTTGTTTTCACGAGGATGCAATAATTTTTCACCTGCATCCCATTCATTTCAAGAGACAGTAATCGTTGTGCTGAGGTCGCCACTAATCTGCTTTCATTTCGCAGGGAGTTTTAGTACCGGAAGACGGCATAAATTATCCCTTTCTTTTATCATGCTCTTAATTACTCGAGATTGTCGGGATAACGCCATCATTTTTTGCTTCATTCGCTACATATTTCATGATTATATGTTCAAAACACCTCGAAATGTTGACGTTTTGTGGGCTATTAGTGGGTGAACGCCTGCACGATTTTACTATACACGAGTAAATTTTCAGTTTTCCGAAATGAGCTCGGATAATTTTGGAAATAATCCTCGGTTGTAAGAAGACGTTTGAATGGTTTCTTGAGCGATTTTCACCTGCAATCAGGATCACTCAAGTCCGAATTATTTCACTGAACTAACGGATACTTTCAAAGCTTCAGCATCAAAGAACGTAGTTAGTTACCATTGATAAATAAATCTCAGTAATGCTGTGGTTGATACTCACAAGAACGGTAATTCAGGAGGAGGAGGATCCAGGAATTTGTACTCGACTTTCTGCTCCTCCAATAAAACAGGGTCCATGTAATTTACCCCAGCCTCTATTTTCAAATTCGGGTTCACGTCTTCCAGCATCAGGCAAAGAAGATTTAGATTTTGGCATTTCGGCAACCGATCCATTTTGAGCATCTTCAAATTTCTGTTGATAAAGAGAAAAAGCTTAGTCGAAGAGATAACAAGGTCGTGTTTCTATAAACACGCGATCATTTCCTTGTTATGTACCTGTCCGCTTCATTACATTTTTTGGGTGCTCTGCTAAATCAAAAATGATATTTTAACAAACCTACCATACAACGAACCTGACTTCACACATGAGTAACCAATCAATAACAGTGTAACCACTTTAACAACCCACAATGTGATTAACTTATAACGTAACACCTCATTTAACTTATCTGAACACAAAAATAAACACGCACCCAACAGATGACTGAGACTGATCACTTCTCTGGTAAATAATTGACCACTGGTGGAACTAACCAGGACTCAACTAACCCAAAACCTAGATGATCATTGGAAAAAAATTAATACTGCATATTCTCCAAAAACCGTCCATGGATTGATTACAAATACAGTATTGGGCTTTTCTCCTGATGTTCAATAGAGACTGGCTTCTATTACAGACCAGCGCTTATTTCCAACAATTAATACTGCCGAACAAAAGAAAAAAACCCTTACGAAAACCCTTTGATTGCAACCTTTTCTTGAAAAATGAGACAGGAATGCTTCAAGATTTGATAATGGGAATGGGTTCCTTTCTTCAGCAAATAACACACGTTCATAAAGGATTATTTGGATTAGAAAAACTATCGCCACGAACCTGATTAAAACACCAACAATTAACACAGCCATCTACGTCGAACAAACCTAACCAAAACGTATCTCAACCAGCCCAATATGATCTTTGTACATTGACAAAATGATCCCGAGATTTAAAAGCTAATCTAATCACAACATCTCGAATACGCGTTCACAGCTTACTTTAACTTCACAACGGCAGCGACTCCTCGCTCGCTAATACTTTTGCAACCGCTTATATCCAGGTATTCCAAGGACTCCTCGTATTCCGCTGTTATCTGATCCATGCAAAAATCGTCCACGTGAGGACAATCACTCAAATTCAGCCATCTCAAATGCCGCAATTGCACTGTGAGAAAGAAACCGATGATGACGTAAAACAGACATAGAAAAATGCCATTTCGTCATACTCAAGTTTTCTAAGCCTTCGTAGGTTATTTGCGTGCCGGATATATCAATCGCTTCTACTCTGAAATGTCGGTCGAAGTCTTCCGGCAAATCCGCATTTTCGCCGGCGACTAGCCAATCTTTCCCTACGAATTTGACAGATCCGAAACGATGGAGAAGGAAATGGGCTGAGGCCAGATCGTAGCCGAGAGCACTGTGTCTCTGCTCAATAAACCTTGAAAAATACACGAATTATTCAAACATCTTCCAGCCTTCGTAATTGTTAGAAAAGAATACAAAATCATGAGTACCGATCCGGCGCCCAAGCAAGAAAAAGAAAAATAGCGCGGAATGATTTCGCGGAAGAATCTTTGGTGCTCAATTGAATACGAAAAAAAAAATTTGCTCAGAGTTCACAACTCGTAACTTTGAGGTAGAAAATTCAGCATTTTATGCGTGTTGTCAATCTCGTGTATAACTCATCGGAAATACTTTAAAACAGTTATGATGCATTCTTCGGGAATCCTCGAGAATAATCGTAAATATTATACATGGTGCATAATCAACCCTCACGTACAACAGTAGCAAGATCACGTTGAAATTGGGGAAAATCCGAAAGCAAATCGAGGTGCGGATGATTTCAGATTAATTATTACATGAAACTGTTCTGCCAGTGACATCTACACACAGATTGGAACGTTTCATCAGTGCATTCCGCCACTAATGAAAATTTGTAGGAAGAATTCTGAATTCCTTACAGGAAAGTACGTCAGAAATACAGCGTACAATTCAGAGTACAGTATAGTACAGTGATTAAATTCCGTCTAACCCGAATCTGATATCTGAAAAACTTTTTCAAGAGAGCAAATATGCCTTTTTTTCTTTCTTCGGAAGAAAACCTTCGGAAAAAGGAATCCCAGATGGCGCAAAACTTCATCACTCACTGCTGATCTTCAAGCAACATCTGGTACTCTCTCCGAGCATACCACCTCCTGAATCCACCGACAGACACGTCCCAACTTGACTGGTACTTATTTAAAGTTTCTATGCTCACGAACTTTCCCGGAGGAAAGAATTTGGCTATGTATCCCTCGGTTCGCTCAAGTAGTTCGTCGTTCGGATGCTTTTTGTACGGCCTGAGAAAATAAAATTGAAAAGGTTATTCTTTATGATGAATACAGACTATTCTACCATCCACTGAACAGTCATAGCGTTATTTTCGTACATGGTATTTCAGAATCCCAGCATCAAGAACAAAGTACTGTTAACATAAATTTCAGAATAAAAACTATATTACGCGCATGGCAAAAAAGATTATTCTCGTTATAAGACCTTGCTTTTTGAATGATGATTACTGTACAGTACTTCCCAGCAGAACCTCACCCGATCGATCCAGACCTAGCTAGACGTTCCACGATTCAAGCGACACCTATACAACAGCAGAGATAATCACATACTGTACTTCCAGACATCTGGTGTTAACACTTGAAAAAGTAGAACCATGGTCGTCACAGAATTTCCCACAGAAAGCTTAGAAATCTTGGAATAGGAAAATCAATACCATATTCATCCAAGAACTAAAAACACTTTTTTCCGAAATCAAGAGGAAAAATGGGGAGCACATCATGAACCCCTACACAATTTTCACAAACTGAAGGTGGACTCTCTACGACAAAATTAAAAGGACTGGAAACAATTGTTTTAGGGAACTCCTAAAAGATGGGGAGAGAATCCTGCAGTACTGAAAACAAATTTGTTACACACAGAATAGTGATGTCAAAAGTACAAATGCACTAGAAGCTTACACATGAATATCATGGGGAACTTTTGATCAATTTTGCGGGAACTTTTTTGAAATTAAAACAACCGAATTCAGGTTGAACTCTGAATTCTAGTACGTATTTCATTTTTTTAAATTGCAGTTTTTGAGTCACTAAAAATGGGGCACGCAACTTAGTCCGGGATCTGATTTCATCGACTCATGTTAAACCATTTTGACACCATTCAAAGTAATATTACATACTAGGGCTATTTGTACATTGCGATTTCTACCACTGAAAGCAATGGTTTCCTTTAATATGCTCCGACTCAATTTCTGCGGCTGCCAAAATTATGTCAACTACTCAAGCCGACACAATGTATGATAATCTCAATCGAACAACTGATACACAAACGTATACAAAAAGATTGACAGTGAAAATGGATTTCACGTTACTGTGAATTCCTAAACATACATATATAAAAAAAAAATAAGAATCAGAACTCACAGTGGAAGTGGATCCATAGTTTCAAAATTAAACTTCTCCACCTTGTAATGTCGTCTAGGTATCCAATGGGAGGCTCGTCGAGCAAACGAGCACCCGACACATCCGACCAGNTGGTACTTATTTAAAGTTTCTATGCTCACGAACTTTCCCGGAGGAAAGAATTTGGCTATGTATCCCTCGGTTCGCTCAAGTAGTTCGTCGTTCGGATGCTTTTTGTACGGCCTGAGAAAATAAAATTGAAAAGGTTATTCTTTATGATGAATACAGACTATTCTACCATCCACTGAACAGTCATAGCGTTATTTTCGTACATGGTATTTCAGAATCCCAGCATCAAGAACAAAGTACTGTTAACATAAATTTAAGAATAAAAACTATATTACGCGCATGGGAAAAAAAGATTATTCTCGTTATAAGACCTTGCTTTTTGAATGATGATTACTGTACAGTACTTCCCAGCAGAACCTCACCCGATCGATACAGACCAAGCTAGACGTTCCGCGATTCAAGCGACACCTATACAACAGCAGAGATAATCACATACTGTACTTCGGGACATCTGGTGTTAAACTTGAAAAAGTAGAACCATGGTCGTCATAGAATTTCCCACATAAAGCTTAGAAATCTTTGAATAAGAAAATCAATACCATATTCATCCAAGAACTAAAAACTCTTTATTTTTTCGAAATTGAGAGGAAAAATGTGGAGCGCATTATGAACCCCTATACAATTTTCACAAACTGACGGTGGACTCTCTCATCTCTACGGCACAATTAAAAGGACTGGAAACAATTGTTTTAGGGAACCCCTAAAACATGGGGAGAGAATCCTTCAGTACTGAAAACAAATTTGTTACACACAGAATAGTGATGTCAAAAGTACAAATGCATTAGAAGCTTACACATTAATATCATGGGAAACTTTTGATCAATTTTGCGGGAAATTTTTTGAAATTAAAACAACCGAATTCAGGTTGAACTCCGAATTCTAGTACGTATTTCATTTTTTTTAATTGCAGTTTTTGAGTCACTAAAAATGGGGCACGCAACTTAGTCCGGGATCTGATTTCATCGACTTATGTTAAACCATTTTGACACCATTCAAAGTAATATTACATACTAGGGCTATTTGTGCATTGCGATTTCTACCACTGAAAGCAATGGTTTCCTTTGATATGCTCCGACTCAATTTCTGCGGCTGCCAAAATTATGTCAACTACTTAAGCCGACACAATGTATGATAATCTCAATCGAACAACTGATACACAAACGTATACAAAAAGATTGACAGTGAAAATGGATTTCACGTTACTGTGAATTCCTAAACATACATATATAAAAAAAAAAAAACATTAAGAATCAGAACTCACAGTGGAAGTGGATCCATAGTTTCAAAATTAAACTTCTCCACCTTGTAATGTCGTCTAGGTATCCAATGGGAGGCTCGTCGAGCAAACGAGCACCCGACACATCCGACCAGTTTCCCAGCCCGCATCTCTTCCTCTGCAACAACCCAAAATAATTTCTCCTAGAAAAACAAAGTTCCTTCATACAAAGTTCATTCTTTTGGGATTATCCCAGAGAAAAAGCTTCTTTCACATCAATTAATCAGTCCTCATTTTGTAGCCTTTCAGAATCAATGCCAAAATCGAACTCTTCAGAAATTTACGTGAATGCAAAAAATATTGCCGATTAAACTCTTTCCATACTTAGCCTATCGTCCAAGTTATACTCCGTATTCATTAACAAACAACACCTTCTTTCGACAGAAGCCCCCCTCCCCAACTTGAATTTTTGCTCTAAAATAATCCAGATTTCAAGCGATCTTCACACTCAGTATCGCTTAGATTGGAACATTAAGATATTCTCAGTAAAGGGAACCTTTAAATCACACGAAAAACTCAAGTCTTTCAGCTGTCTTCAAATTCAGAGAACATTTAAATACAACAGGTAACATTCCCATGGCGCAAAAATAATATTTCGTAGTCTTTGCGTCATATTTTGGATGAGCAAAAATTGTAACATCGCTCTAGAAAAAAAAACGAATGATGATTTGTCCACTTGAATTACGCACATCCACCTTAGAAAACTTTCTGAACCGTTGTCGAAAATCATAAAATGCAAAAACTACCATTAACTTCATTCGATTGTGAATCAAACTCTAATTTTTCATCTGAATCCACCAGACAGGAAATATTACGACGTGCGCTCGATTAAAATTTTCTCATAATACACGGAAAAAAACAGAAAACAGCAAATCAAACTTCCATACAGCAAATATGAGTCATTCGAAGCTTTTTCTCTAGAAAGTAAAGTGAACCACACCCAAACTGGGAAAATGAACCACACTTCACACCGATTTTCCTCCAATTACATTCTTAAAATTCTCGTCGCCAGAAACACAGGAGAAAAAAAAATTCCAGCCGCGCGCATGAAATAACCATGTTAACTCCAAGAGGCAAAAAAAAATCTAAGGGGACAAAGGGGCACAAAATGAAGGATCCTCTGCCTCCCCATTTTGAAAATGAAGATGGCGGGGAAGAGGGAAACACACGAGTTCGCCCAACACTGGCAAAAAAGGTGCTGCTCCTCCTTGGTCCTGCAACTAAGAAGCCCACGGGACTCGGCGTCCCGACACCGACAGGGAAAGCTATTAATGCCTTGAGAAAAAATTTTCGAACCCCACCAAAAGACGAGAAATGGATACCGGAAAATAATAATAAAAAATAAACAGGAACACAAAAAGAAAGGGGAAAATATAGACGAGAGGCGAGGAAAACGATACATCCATCCGCGTTTAACCTCCGGTTCCATAAATATCCACCCTCTCTCTTTTTCCTTTTTCTTTCTTCTTTTCGCCACATCAAAACGGAAATTACTCTGATTCCTATCGCTTACTCCGCCCACAAAGTAACCTGTATTGTGGCTGTGGCCAGGACCAGGGATGGTACTTCCTCTCTCTCTTTCCTTCTTCGCAAACGCGCCAAAAAAAAACCCTGACAGTGAATCCCGCGATTTCGACCAAGTACCATTGAACAACACCCACTTCATCATCCAAACACATTCCACAGATGATCCAGAATGAGAAATCCATTCACCGAGCGAACAATCTCCAGTCCTTCAAAGCTCGAGGCGCCTTCGTGATAGTAAATTCGTAACCATTTCCAAAGAAAAACAATTTCTGAAAACAACTTTTTGACGTAATTCCATTTTTTACATTATACGGTGAAATCCTTCTGCAACACAATTCCAAGCGGTCTGCAAAAAATTACTCGCTATGAAGAAAATTTCGTTTTAATTAGGCTTTCCCAAAAAGTTCGACGCACGTCTGGGATTTTGTTCAAACGAGGTAGTAAATAATTGAACAGGCTCTTCAGATGATCATGTAGGGCAATACTTCGCATTATTAACGACAACTTCATTTCATACAGGGCAATTAAGTTCATCAAAATTCACAGGGATATCTGGAAGGGCAAAACGTTCGTTCGATAAAACCTGCAGCGATTTTTTCATTCGGCCAGGTCTTCACTTTTGCACCAACAGGGTCGGAATCACTTGAAAAGATTTTCAGTTTGGCTCCAAAATCTGAAAAAATATTGCGATTACAACGGTAAAATCCATTAATAACGATATCCCCAGAAGGCTGGAAAAATTCGTGATGATGGATTTCCCTTCATCAAAATTTTTCAACGAAGAGGACAGCGAATACTTGGCCAGGCTTCACAGGCACGATTCCTTTTTTTAGTATAATTTTCACAGGGAATAAAATAAAATAAAAACATTCCGCCGCAGATTTCAAAGAAAATGATTTGCTCTCGTACAAGTAATTTTCACATTTCAACCAATCCACTTACGATCAGCAGGTTGAAGAGTTTTTCAGTAATAACGCAAAACGGCACCAAAAAAGGCAGTTGCTTCAAACACTCCAGGATCTTCCGTTTTTTTTCCCTGAATTCTTCGTGGCACATCATCTCTAACAGACGTCGTGAGCGCTGAATTCTTCCAAGATTTGCTCAGATTAGAGAACTGTGAACGTTGTTGCCAGGCACAAAAATCCGATTCTCGACCAGGGTTTTCATTTTCCCGACCAGGGGGGAGGAGGAGAGAAAACAAAAAAGGTGGTGGTGGTGGACAAGACTCACCCCTGGCCCTCCACCCCCCAAAAAAAATAATAAATTCAACACCGAGCCAGAGCCCCCACCCGAGCACATGAAACCACCAAGTATCGCAATCGCACGTCTCGCACGGACCCGTCACTCCTGTCACCTCAGCTACGTCGACGAACACTCGGACGCGGATACAAAAGGACAAATGAAACCCTCGCGTGCAGACCCCGCTGTCAACACATAAAAATAATAAACCAGAGGCAAGAGTGGCCCACGGCGAGAGAGAGAGAGCGTCTTCACCGGCCTTTTCTTCCAAGCAGAGTTCAACAAACCAAGCCGGAAATGCTCCGTTCGAAACAACAAAAAACGAGGGGTTTCTCTTTCCTCTTTGCACTCACTCAACCCCATTCTCAGTTTATTTTTCCCCACCTCTTCTGATACCAGAGGTTTGCTTGAATAAATGGGATCACATCTTCCGATGGTAGCTCAGTTTTCCCAGCCACTCCCACCAGCTTCTTGTTCATTCGTCGTTCAAAAAATAAAATCGACACTGGAAACCGTTGACATCACCGAACTTCAGATCGACTACAAACCCGGTTTTAGATTCTTCAAAAAAAAAATATACTCGGTGAACTAAGAAATTTGTTTAATTTATCATTCGTGAGCATTTTAAAAGTTAGCCGTGATTCATTTGTCTTAATCGAACCAGAAACTAAATCAGATGATCATACTGCGGAAGAGCAAGTGTCAATAATCCAACTCGGGCTGAAATTCTCACACCAACTCTTTCCAACACGTGAGCTTTCGAGAAGCATCCAATCCAGATCTCAACACAATACAGTACCAGAGAAAAGTTATAATTCCATTTGCGAAATTTCGAGGGAGAATGCGAGACGAAGAAGGAATTATCTACGAAATCAGATTGAAAATTTGGACCGCTCATCTTCCCCTCGGAAACTGCTCCACGCTGTCTCAAAACAAGATATCACCCCATAAAAGAGCGAGCGTACAAAAGAAAGCGAGTGTCGAAGGCCCACCTTGACCCAAGACTTGTTCTTTTGAATCTTCCTCTTTTCATGGTACACCAAAATCAGATTGAACAGCAGACTAGTTATAACTCCAACTCCCTACGATGACTTCGATGGAGAAGGCGAATGAATGGAAGAGGAAAAAAGCAAAAATCAAAGAAACCAGTTTTTCAACAATGAAGACCGCTCATCTCAGCCAAGCACTGCACAGGATGACAATTTTTGGCACTTCGCAATGATGAAGAAAAAACTTCGCATCAACGAACGTGGGGGGCGCGTGGATTAACAAAACTCGTAAAGCAAAGTGAACCAAAAAAACAAACTGCAACACTGATGATGATGATGAAGAGAGCAAGGAAAAAAAAAAGAAAAGGACTACCCGAGTGTTTTCACGGGACGAACGGCAAATCCGGCTCGTTTGAACTAACTCCCTGCGGCTGGTATGGGAAATTCGGGGAAAGGGTACTCTTCAAAAAAAGTGGGGGGCGACTTTCGAGTTTGGGGGAGGAAAAAAGGGGGAGGGGACGTGACTGCGCGGGCCGCGAGTTGGAAATGTTCACTTGGTCGGGCTCGGCGGAGGCGGGGGAGACCCGTCACGCGGCGGGCCAGGCGGCGTTTGTGGCCGTTGGCCCTGCTGCTGCTCCTCATTTTCCTCTGGTGGCGGTTTTAGCTCCAGGAATGTCTTTTCTATGACATTTCTCCTGCAAAGATTAAAAATACAGTACATAAACCATGCAAGTTTGCCAAGGAGACAACTTGAAAAAATCAATCTTAAAATGTGTCTTGAATGAGTCGACATGGAAGCTAAACTTGGAAGCAAGGGCCCATTTGCTCAATTAGTCTATCAGTTCCTTTCAAAACACATCCACTTACATTTTCATCGATTTTTTCTTCCTAGTGTCAATAAAATGAAAGCCAGAAGACCTCAAGAAATTTCACTAAAATTACCAAATTAGTGAACGAAGTTCGACATGGGGAGGTATTCGACTCGGGGTCGTTCGAGTTATCGACGTTCAACTATTCTTCCTCGTGATCTCCAGTTTAATATCTCTACTTCAGAGCAGATATGGACTGAACTATTGAAATTCAGATCATCAACTCCAGCTATCATTTTTTCACGATGACTCACAATGTACTCAGCGAACGTCCACTACAAGAAATCAATATTTGCAAAAAGAGAATTTCAACTAACTCTTTCGAATCTAATACAAAAAGGTGGAGACACTTTTCTGGAAAACATAATACGTCTAAGCTTTGACATCCTCGTATTTTCCTCCCTGCTTGGGACTGAATTAAAGATTTCTTGCATTCATTGAAGTGAATGATCCGTGATTGACGACTACTCAACCATTACAAGGAATGAAAAAACAGGTACTGTATATGCCTGGTAATAGGGAAATAGTTTTCGCTCCAAAGCGGAATTCTTTTGAAACATCATAAAAATTAGAACACTTCTACAACTGAGCAATATCTTCTATCAACATTATCTCAAAGTAGTTCAGCAAGTCAGTACAGAGCTACATGCGAAATTTTTTTCTCTCCTTTCTCAAGACTGCGCAATATCCCTCCAATTGTGAAAAACTCAAACGTCATCCTTCATTCCATCACGGAAACTCGTTCAACCATGAAGGATGATTCAGGCGGTACAAGATCCAAACAAACGTAAATATTTGATGAGTTACACTCACATGATTACTAAATTAGTGGCAAATTAGGATGCGACATTATTGCTACCGAGATTCGATTTTCAAGATAAGAGAAGTTCTCCTGTGGATGCCACGATTTTTCTTCCCATATGTCATCGTGACCGAAGTTACCTCTCTCCTGAGGATACCATTTCTAATTCTACCATTTCTCGAAAAGCGTTCACGAGTTCTAGTCCCGAAATGAGAGAAAATGTTATACAGTACAGTAAAATGATGTGCTTCCTCTTCCGGATAATAAATACCAGGGTTGATTAAATGTCAATATTTTTTCGTTTTTACAATTTTCGCATTTGCAATCGAAACAAATTTCACAACCATACTTCTATGACTCCACGAAATATTCATGATTTTATTTGTCAAGCAGCGCGTGCATTACACGGTCTACCATGTTTCCAGTAAAGAATCCGCGCACACACTAAAATAGTTTCATTCATCAACGAATAATCATCAAAAACACCCAAATACACAAGCACAAATAACTCACTTGGCATGCAGTTGCGCGCCCGGCGGCAAGTCGGATATTATATCATCGGTACTGAGGACGTCGAATACCAGTGTTACATCAACAGTAGGATCAGCTTCGAGAATATCTAAAAAGACGAAAAATAACCGATCAGTTTCAAATCCAAAAGAGGAAAAACGAACAAAATTTTACAACAAACGAAATTGAAAATCACCCTTGACTTTCTTCTTCAACAACTCGTCCAACTTTCGCTCCTTTTCCTGGGCTTCGGGAGAGACTTTCGGCGCTGCAGCAAATGTGACCAATACTAGGCTCATGTTATCACGACTTCCCTGAAATCAGGCAATTAAAATAGTTAGACAAAGATCTAAAAACCGTGGCATTTACATCCTGAACTCTCGAAGGTCATCAACATGAAAAAATCCCAGATCAACAAAGCGAACTAACTAAATACTGGAGACTTTCATCATACGGACGAATAAAATCTTGTAAAATATTTAATCACTCTACCCTCTTCAGATGCTTGATCAAAATCCTGCGGACAACGACCGATCTATAAAAAAAAGATCGAACCTGATCATAAAATTCAAAATGAGCATCTACAAGATGTAGATCAAGAGGAAAGCTGCGAATGACGAGGAAATAAAATTAGGGACTAATGACGATCAACTAGAATACCAAAAAGTAAAAGCGCTTCTAATCTTTACATTCCGCGTTTTAGCTCGTATACTTTCAAATGGAAGCAATAATGAACACAATCGTCTTCGATCTTTCTAAATACAAGCCTTTCAGGTTCTTCGAGTTTGGTCAGACTAATTGATGAACTAGCCCACACTGACAAAATGACTAACCGTCTCCCTTTCTTTATCGCGAACGTAGACCCGAAAAGAAGAACACTTATCTGTTGAGAAGGGTTTCTCCGAAGAGTCAAGATATTTGTGAGGACATGAGGGAAAACTCACTATGTTTAAACAAGTATCAACAATTTCGTTGCAGACATGATCCAATTTGTCACTGATCCTTAGACGGGACCGAATGTAATCGCAGAGATCGCGACTGCTGATAACGTCCCAAATGCCATCACAGGCCAAAATGAGAAATTCGTCGTTCTCCGAGCGATCCAGCACGTAAACATCCGGCTCTGGCGAAACGAGCTGCTCTGTTGGCCCGCGACCCTCAACATTCTTGAAATCGAAATCACCCAACGCCCTAGACACTGCCAACGATCCATTCACCCTCTGTATCATCACACTACCGCCGGCGTTGATGATTCGTTCTCGCTCGAGAGGATTACTAGGCTTGTGGTCGGTTGTCGCAAGTGCTACTTCTCCTCCTCGAGCCAGAACTGCTCGCGAATCCCCACAGTTTGAAATGTACAGGTGGGAGTCGGAGATGAGGGTACACACGGCTGTTGAGCCAGATTTATCTTCACCACTGACAATTTGCGGCACCGAAGTCTTCATTCGTTCATCCAAATTCAAGAATCCGGTACGAATTCCAGCTGTGACGTCTACTTTGTTATTCCCAGAAGCACCACGTTGGAAAGCATCTGTCTTGATTATGCTATCGAGTAGATTTGCAGCGCAGTATGCTGATACCCCGGCACCCGCATGTCCATCAAACACAGCGAAGTATGACCATTGAGACAGATTCGGCAGGGAAACAACTGCGGCATGAGCGTCTTCCATTTCGATTCTCCATCCTTGCATGGAGGAGAGTCCGAAACGCATGCCATTGCCATCGCCAGCCTCTGAGTGCTTTTCTGTCTTCGGCTTATCGAGGAACGAACCCATCGATTTAGGAATTCAGTTAGGACTAGGGATGACCTCCACACGATCAACTCTCAATCCTCAAAGCATCTGGATCACTGAATATATTAAAACTTCGGTATCAAAACAATAAAATCAATATAAATCGCGCAATTTCTGCGAAGAGATGCATACAAGCGTGAATCGCGCACAGGACCCACCAATAATTAGATAAAAAATGCGATCACACGACTTTATACAATCTTAGTCATAAAAATGCAGGCTTAGTCAACATCGCCCGAAAACTCATGTTGAACGAATCATGAACTCGCCAAATTCGTTGACATCCGACAACAAACAGAGTTCCGTAAAACACACGCACCGAACGATTCAATGCTCCATACGATTCAAACACCTCGCTCAGAGTATCTGACTATTTCTACACTCACGCTTCACAAAAAACCGACACATTCCGTAACATTAACTAACCCTCATTACATTTTACATTCGCGGTTCTGCGACGTTCAACTTTCTAGTTTTACATTCGGTGGAATCTTGTTTGCATGAGCAGTTAGAAGGACGCTATTAGTGCAAGACGAGTGGGAGAGATGAGCGGCATTTTGGACGCGGGTAATCTGTATACATTCAAATAAAAATGTTCGTTTCCCGCGTTTTTATTTTTTATTTTTATTTGAGTGAAATGGCTTTTTTTGAAGCCGAAAGCGCAAATGACCACGACCTTCGATCAGGTGAATAAGTGAACATGAAAATGTTCATGTTACCCGTGTTTTTTTGTTGGAAGTTGAGTGAAGTGGCTTATTTTGAAGCCGAAAACTCAAATGACCACGACCTTTGATCAGACTTGCCGTTTTCCCTTGGCGTCCAAGATACAGACGACCTCTGACTTCAAAGATTTTTTAGGTGGGATGCGTTAATTGCTATACGAAGCACTGTACAGTGCACTGTAAGTGGTAGCGTGAATCGTTCGTTATCCCACATCCCATTGAGAAAAAAAGATTATGGGAAACATTATGATAATCAGGGATGAGCAGATGACTCACGGTTCACCAGCCCAGAAGCATGAGTCAAACGGGAAATCGCCTTAACGTGCACGTGTTCCCCTCCCTATTCCCCAAAGCAGAATATTGTCCATGTCTTTCGTGCAGTCCTGAACAGGTTTTATCTCTCTTCCGCCAGGCGGAGCGACAAGTAAAAGTACAGTAACTCAACTACTCCAGATCCTTTGCGTGGCACGGTGAGTTGTGAGTTATTGCGGGGGAATCGCGTTGCAACCTTTGGTCGGGTTTCTCGTCGCTCACCTGCCAGGTTTCGATTCCATCTTGGGTCACGTGGGACCCGATGGTGCGTTCCTGTTCACGTTGCACCGCTTCCGGTGCACGGTGAGGCGGCCAAAGAAGACGATTTCCATTGTACCGTAACGTACGCCGGTAGTGAACTGTATACCCGCTTCTCGAACATTGTTCCTCGGCCCCGCGGGGGTGCGCAAACTTTTTCCACCTTGTCCTTTCGTTATACATCTTCGGTTGGTCAGCGGTTCACCTGATTGCACCTGAAATTTCGGAGCATGGTGATGGGGCTTCGGAATTTAGACGATTCGTGGACAATTTAAACTTGGAAAAAAACAATCTGCCCCGACATAATCTGGACAATGCCTCCAAAGATACAGAGACTCCGCTAAAACATCTAGGAAAATTAAAAGATTACTTTCCAAAATTGTGATCCTGTTTGAAAAATTGAGCTACTGCTACGGACAAAAACTCAAATTACGTCTCATTACAAATTTACATTGATTCATTTTTCAAAGCAGGTTAATTTTATGCTTCTGTACTCAGAGGAAATTTCAATTAACTGTGTATACAGTATAGACAAATATTGTACTGTACATTTGTGAGCTTGTGTTTTGTCCTTCTTTCTATACAAAAAAGGCATACTCTGTCTGGCTTTCCTCCTCACAGCTATTTTTCTGATTCTAGAATTCAAGCAATCATTTAGACTGCACTGCATTTTTTATTTTTTCCAAGCAGGATGATAAGAAGCAAGCAAAAAGTTCCTATTATAGTCTATGTGAAAAACAAATCTTGACATGTAGACACAGTCTGAGAAGTGATTATGTCTGCTTCTGGCAGGGGTTCCACTACATACATCTTTCTTTATTAAACTTCAAATTTCTCTGATGGTTCACTTATAACCTTGGAAACTTCACTTACTGCAGTACTAGTTTGTATTTCTAAGAAAAATACTGTACAATGAAGAAAAGGGGGTGATCTAGACATACATGATTTTATGAAGTAGGGCATTTGATGTTGTGTGGATTTCCTTTGGAAAGAAGCTTTTCAAAAAGCTGTTCCATCTATTAATGCAAAGCTGTATAATGTGGAATGGCTAATCCAATGCAGTAGAGGTCTATTATTGGGAATTTCCTTTCTTGAATACTTCACTGAAAGGATCTATAACTTTTACCATATGATGCAATTAGAAACTAATCTTCGAATAAGTTGATGCAAAGGGACAATGGTATGCATCATATGGTGCTTGACTTCTCACAGTTAAAATCAGAATGCTGAGCAAACTGAATGTAACTAAAATACTGTATTTTACCTTAACTATATTCATAGGTCTTCAATTTTCAGTGTCAGAAAAAATGCCCAATTTAAAAGGGTATGCTCCCAAAGACCTTTGTTCATCTTATGTGCCAGTATAGTGCTGCCTTTAATAGCTGAAGCATTTCAACAACTGACAAATGCTAAATTAATTTTGAAACTCACAGTCATCTATGCTTCCGTTTAAATCAGTGTCTTTGCCAGGATTTTCGTGTGATCCCAATACAGGCCTGAGCCGAACGAAATTGAACCCCAGTCTCCATGAAAAGGATGCCTTCTATATTCATTAATAATCCTGCCCAAAATCCCAAGTGTTTCTGACAGGAGATTCATGACCCGAATTCCAATTTCCACCGTTTCATCTCAAAAGGGAATCCTGTAATGTATGCATTTGTGAACCCAACGACTCCGAAAAGCAAAACAAAATCGTCTAAAGTTCGAAACATTATTAAGAGCAACTTCAAAAGTCGCCTTCAATTGATTTCGCTCGCGGAAATCAAGCAGAAATCCGGAATTTAATTTAAATCGGAGAAGTTTGATGCTGATCCCTCTGTCGTTCGTGTGAGGACAATTGCCGAGGAAACGCATGATGTCTTCGAAAAGGAAAAAAAAGAAGGAAAAACGAACACGACAAGCTGGAAGATTATAAAAACTGCGTCTTATTTCTCTCGGTTACGAATTTAAATCCCTGCGTCGTTTGCGCTCACGTGGCCGGATTTTTCCTCCTCCCACCGGTTTCCTTCGGAACGCACATTATTGAATTCCGGAAACACCAGTAAGAACCTTCCAGAAAGTTCCCGGGGTGAAGAGTAAATTTTGGACGAATAACCCGGCTGATGACAAGTCAGACAAGTAATTACAGGTAACCCAGGTAGGTGGATTAATGGATTTCGCCAGCATGTGATGCCATTTTAAGAATGTAGAGTTAAATTCCGTGGAACTGGTGCTGAATAAAAACTTTCATTAAAAAAAATACACTTTAAAAATACCAAGGGTACCAGCAAATATAAACTTCAAGCATTGAAGAAAGTATTGAGTAATAAGTGCAAAAGCAACAAAATCTACTTTTCTTTTCTGAAGTTTTTCAGTAAAAATGCCTGGAATGCATCAATGATGATAATTTAAAAAGAATCATTAATTTGGGGAAGTATTTGAATTAGGGAATTTCAAATTACAGGGTTCTTAAGGAAATTCAGACAGGTTTAAGCAGATTTTTTGACTTGAGAAGGTTCAAGTTAGCATGTTCCATTTGGATGCAATTTTTCATTATTCACTTGAACCTCAATAATTTAAACCTCCTTAATTCAAATTATTTGTTTCAAGTCCTTGTCTGAATTCACCTTGAAGCAATGCATCAAAAACCTCCTTAACTTGAAGGCTTCTATTCTAAAAACTCCATAAATAAAATTTTCTGAGGTATTTTGACTATTATTTTCTTGACACAGGAAAGAGAAAAGCTGAAAAAAAAGAAATTGACAGACAGATTGGTCAAACAAACAAACACCTGCTTCCAAGTTCAGCATCCTGTCAACATATTTAATCCTTGGGCAGCGCTGCAGGGATTTATTTGCATACTTTTGTGCCACAGGTAAAAAAAAAGAAGAAAAACATAGCATGATTAGAATAGCCAATGTCTGGAAAATCCCAATTTTTTACATTCCTGTCATAGGATTATCATTGAGGGATTTTTGAAACAATGGGTTTCATTTTCCTTGATTTTTCTGGACTTGGGCTCCTCAGCCAAATCTGCATTTGGTGACCTTTGGTCAAACCAAAATGCACAAGCTTGCAAAAATTTCCTGGCACTGCGGTGCAATGTGTTGGGCCAGAATCAACAAAGAATTTAGGAAAATGAATTGAAGTCATGTTCAGCCTTTAACGGCCGGATCCTCCATGGGAGTCCCTTAAATGTAGCACTCTTTAATAGCAGGCCCACAGGCAACCGCAGAAGGAAATCTACAAGACTTTCACGCACACTTGTAAATGTCAATCAGACAAGACAGATCTCTCAGCAGGAATAAACCAACAACCACCATCAGGCAATGCAATTGAGGAAGTGAAGTCCTTGGAGACTTTGCTGGGCTTTGTTGCCACTTTCAGATCTTCATCAGTAATCACCCAGTTTGCCGCATTGCAGTAAACCAGGTGCCAATCCACTTCCGGGTCCGTGGGCCGCTACGTTGGACATTGGCGTGCCCAAGCAAGGATGCTGCGCTTGGGTCACGCCGTGTGTACGCAACCCCACACAATGGAAACTGACCTGCAGCTGTCCAAGGGCTAAGAAGCAATTTAAGGCCCAAAATATCACCATATACAATTTTCTGCAATTATTTCATGTTTCACACAAAGCTTGTTTCCCAAACTCACAACCTCTGTAAGTGAAAACCTCCATCTGTCTTTTTTTTTTGTTGCTTGTCCCTTGAAATTTGACTTTGAGAGGTTTGGCTAGTGGAAACTATATACCTTTGTAATCATTACCTGTGGAAATTCCTTACTATACCTCAGTCATATAACTTTGCTTTTCAAAAATTATTTTTTGAAATACATCCTGAGAAGCGTCCACAAATGTTTCAGTA